TGGCCAAAGTACTGGAGTTTCAGCCTCAGCATCAGTCCTTCCAATGAACACCCCGGACTGATCTCCTTCAGGATGGACTGGTTGGATCTCCTTTCAGTCCAAGGGACTCTCAAGAGTCTTCTCCAACACCACAGTTCAAAATCATTAATTCTTCAGCACTCAGCTTTCTTTATAGTCCAACTCTCACATCCATACATGACCACTGGAAAAACCATAGCCTTGACTAGACGGACCTTTGTTGACAAATTAAAAAAAAAATATCTGGTGACTCAGTAAAAAATCTGCCTACGATGTGACCAGACCAGGATTTGATTCCTAGATCTCCCCCCCGGAGAAGGGAATAGCAATCCACCCCAGTATTCTTGCCTGGAGAATTCCATGGACAGAGGATCCTAGCGAGTTATAGTCCACAGGATCATAAAGAGTCAGACATGACTGAGTGACTAACACAGTTTACAACAAACTCCTGGATTTAACAAGATGATTTTTTTCATTTTGCATCTATTTACCTTTGTTTTGGAATTAAAGTAATTTTGGCTGGAAGATAAGAAACACACACTTTCCATATGTCATTTTGTACTAAGAAACTTGAGATAGAAATAAGATAGAAGAATTTTCCTTATATATTTGGCTCAAGTCATATCTTTCTATTTCTTTTTATCCACCTCCCACAATCATTTTCCAGATCTTTGACACTGTGTCATGTATTGCTGCCTAAGAAAGTGATGGCCAACTCTTTTTCCTATATCTACAAATATTGGGGGCAATCACTGTATGATATTTTAAAGCAGAGTTCTTAACCTCTGGCTGTGGATGTCCAGTACATTCCTGGACTGGAACGCTTGAGACTATATGTTGTGTATGCATTTTTTTCCCATGGAGAGGATCTAGGGTTAACGTGAGCTCATCAAAGGAGTCTGGACCAAAAAAGGGCTATGAGCTATTTTGTGCACAAATGAATTGCTAGGAACACCTTTCCTCCAAAGAATATTAGGATTGAAGTAGAGCATGAAAAATGAGTAAAAGAATTCAGAAAAACCCTCCTGAATATAAAAGAGGCAGAATCAGTAAAACAGAATATTCCTTAGGAGACTTTTAGTGACTACTTCTTATAGAGGCACATGGGTATGAGTTCTGTTATCCTCTTCCTCCTCTTCCATTGCTAATTCAATCCATAGCATATGTATTTTTGCTGTGTTACTTTCCTGCTAGTACCAATTACATGACCGATCATTTTGCAACAGTTATTTTCTCCCATTCTAATAAAGAACTTTTGCTTATTCCACAACATTTGGATTAAACTAAGTAAGCAAATCTTCGCATCTTACCAGGTCTCCTCTAGACATTACCAAGCCCTTCTAAAATGATGCTCCTAATGACGAATCTGGACTATTTAGAAATTAATTATAGCCTAATTTGCTTTGTGGATAAGCATTCCAATTATAAAATAAATCCTCAATCATAGCTTATTGATGAAGATGAGAAACCAGTTATTTTCCATTCTTGGATTCAAAGCAGAACAGCTAAAAAAGAAAACACCCCTGAGAACTGAAAACAAAAGGATCTCCATCAACCATAGTCAGTGTGGGTGTCTTTTCATCCATGCAGCATGTTATTTGTTTGTGGGAACAGATGGTCACATTGTTTGCATCATCCTCATCATGAAAGAGAAGTCCAAAATACACGGCAGACCTTGCTTTGGCGTCTGGGTAGTTTTGTGAGCTGGGCATTGTACTACTTCCCAGCTTCACACATGGACAGCAGGATTCCCTCTTTTGTAGCTGCACAAATGAACGGAATGAATCTTCCTGCCAACTGTGCTCTTTGCATATTGTCTAGCAATTGCCAGATCTCATCAGGATACTTGGTCAAATTTGGCCCTGGAATGTGTACCCGTGGCAGATATCAGAGTGTTCTGATATGGCTGCTTTTACTGAGTGTGCAAGGGTGAGTACTGAATGCTCTCCAAACACCTGACTGATTCTGTCTCCAGCCTGGCCTCAGTAATACACTTCCAGACTGTCTGACCCCCTTGTAGCAGGGCCTGGTGAAGACCTGCTCAGGTGTGAAACACCTGCTTTCCTTTTCAAGATAGGAAATGGTTGATGCAGAAAGTCATCAACCTTCTACATTTTATCAGTGGCACTAAATAATTGCTGGAAAAGGAGGGATTCAAATAAAGAAACTAATTTGGGAATAAGGTTCTTGATTAGGCATTGGTTCAAGTGGTTCTTTTTTGGATGAATGTCAAAAGAAGACCTGAAAATGTTTTCATTGGTTGGAATATTTGATGCAGGTGAACTTATTACTTAGTTAAATCTCTAACTCTTAAAATAGCAAATACATTACGGGTTCTGTTTCAAAAACAAACCTCTTTTTATTCAGTTCAGTTCAGTCGCTCAGTCATGTCTGATGCTTTGTGACCCCATAGACTGCAGCAGGCCAGGCTTCTCTGTCCATCACCAACCGTGGGAGCTTGCTCAAACTCCATCGAGTCAGTGATGCCATCCAACCATCTCATCCTCTGTCGTCCACTTCTCCTCTCACCTTCAATCTTCCCCAGCATCAGGGTCTTTTCTAATGAGTCAGTTCTTTGTATCAGGTGGCCAAAGTATTGGAGCTTCAGCTTCAACATCAATCCTTCCAATGAATATTCAGGGTTTATTTCCTTTAGGATTNGATCCACACAGTCAAAGGAAAGGCTTTGGCATAGTTGATAAAGAGGAAGTAGATATCTTTCTGGAATTCTCTTGCATTTTCAATGATCTAACAGATGTTGGCCATTTGATTTCTGGTTCCTCTGGCTTTTCTAAATCCAGCTTGAACATCTGGAAGTTCACGGTACACATACTGTTGAAGCCTGGCTTGGAGAATTTTGAACATTACTTTGCTAGCATGTGAGATGACTGCAATTGTGCAGTAGTTTGAACATTCTTTGGCATTGCCCTTCTTTGGGATTGGAATGAAAACTGACCTTTTCCAGTCCAGTGGCCACTGCTGAGTTTTCCAAATTTGCTGGCATACTGAGTGCAGCACTTTCACAGCATCTCTTTTAGGATTTGAAATAGCTCAACTGGAATTCCATCACCTCCACTAGCTTTGTTCATAGTGATGCTTTCTAAGGCCCACTTGGCTTCACATCCCCGGATGTCTGGCTCTAGGTGAGTGATCACACCTTCATGATTATCCGGGTCGTGATCCGGGTCGTGAAGATCTTTTTGTCCAGCTCTTCTGTGTATTGTTGCCACCTCTTCTTAATGTCTTCTGCCTCTGCTGTTTTTATTAGATACCAACAATACCTGAGTGCTAGATGCTAGATGAATTAATAAAGACTAAATCTGAATACTCTGATGAGATGCATAAATGATACTGTTATTTTCATCTTAGTGAATGAACATTTGGAATTAAAAAGTGAATAACACAGTTTATGAAGCATATGATTAATGGGCACCCAAGGTTATATTTATGGCTCAGCTTGTGATTAATTTTATAGTTGCTCGACTACAAGTGTCCTTAGAATAATTTTAATTATAACACTTTGATCACACTTGAAATTTTATTACATCTTTGCAGATTGTCAAATGTCGCGGAGGAAGTTAACAAACATTATAGCAATGCATATACAATGGAATCTGATGGAGTGCCCTAAAATGTCACAGAATAGAAAAATGGAGTACATTACAGTAAGTGCTCATGCAATTTATAAAACTCTAAGGGAGAAGGAATCAGAATAGGTGAGAGTTCTGGAAACCTTCCTATTAGAGGAATGGTTGAGGAACTTAAGTTCTTTAGCTAAGGTACTGAAGACCAACTAGCGACCTAGCCGTTATTTCCAATTCTTTGAAGGGCCATTAAATAGACAAGAAAATAAAATTATTTCACAAAGTCCAGAAGGCACAGGAGGAACCCATCCATGGAATTTATAAAACACAGAAACAAGCCTCAAACATTCTTGAACTTGTCTAACAGTGAAACACATTTTTGTGAGGAAGTGGCGGCCCCATTGCTGGAGGTGTGCAGGCAGAAGCCTGTGCCAAGAGTGTTAGATGAGGTCCTTGAATCTGGTCAGAGGTTAGAGTTCCTCCAGGCAGCCGTAACATGCTAAAAAGTCCTGAAGGGATTTTTACATTTAGGCGGATGTCGCTTTAACATAAGTAAAGAAATGAATAACAGCAAACAAAAAAGAATACAGATCCATATGAGGTAGCTTTGGTACTGTGTCAGAATCAGCTCTGGTACTTCCTCAACGTCATGCTTGATTTCCAGGACATTTTGTTGGGAGTAATTCATCTAGAAAATACATTTTATGTATAGGTATTAAGGAAAGTGGTGATTTACTGGTGCTAGGTACCGAATAGAGAGCTCTAATCCTTACATCACTAATTCTCTGGGTGACTCTAGATAAGTCGCTTTTCTATAACAGTTTCCTCATCCATAAAATGAGAAATACTTTTGTCATGGGGATTTCTGTGAGGATTAGATAAAGACTGCATTTGAGAAAAATGCAATATAAATACAAAGTGTTCCACCAGCCAGACTATGGTAAATTAAAATTATCTTTTAAAAAAAATATCTATGTTAACTCCTTCAGGTCTGCATAGCATTAATGTGTGCGGGGTATACAGGAACTTTTGTTTACTCGAAAGGATTCCAGGGATTTGGAAAGCAGAATGAGATTTCCTATATTTTTTTAGTAGAAAGAAGCCTAAAAACATAGAGTTCGATGTAACTGAATTATGCAAATATATTTAAACAACTCAAGCTACAAAAAATGGCATTTTGTCCAAAAAATAAAAAAGGAGCCAAAACTCCCATCCAATTCACATTGGTTACAGTCTCAAATTTTTAGTTAAAAAAAAGGAAAAGATAGATGGAGACTGAGGTATTTGATCATAGTCTGCTCTTCTGCTTGATACTTAAAACAGAGTATGATTTCTCCGCCTAACGTCTCCTTTTAGCAATACAGCCCCCCACTTCCGCTACGTCACAGGCAGGAACCGTTTCCGAAGGCGCCCAGAGCCGGGCACGCGAGAGAAGGTGGCCGTCCACACGGAGCCCGGTGCCCGCCGCGCTGTAACGGAGGCTGCGTGCTGAGAACAGTGGCTGTTATCTGAGTCAGGCCGACCGCTCTCTCGGGACTATGGGCCAGGAAATGGCGGGAGAGCAGTCCGGAGGAGATACGCGTACAGGAACACAGAGGCGGAAGCCATGTTGACCAGAGAAGGCAGTTAGCCCCTAGGACTGCTTCTGTCCCCAGCGTGCTTTTTCAGTTCCGGTTATCCACACGTTTCCTTCCAATGAGCGCTTGCCACCCAGGGTGCCCTGGTTACGCCTCTGTCCCTTGCTAACCCAGCGTGGGTGGGACTTTTCTTCCTCATTTCAAACCATAAAAGACACGGTATTTATTTATTTCTTTTTCTAGACTAAATTTTCAGAAATTTCACATGCCAAGTTTATTCATTTCTCATTTCTTTTGTCCATCACTACATTAGGTATCATTTTTGAAAGACTATTCCTTACTGAGTTCTATAATTCTAGTTATATACTATATAAGACTGTTTCTTTTCAGATGAAGCAGAGAAATATGCTTGGAGCAATTTTGATAAAAATTTCATTCATTTGTTGTTGCTGTAGTTTCTATATTCCCACCTTACCTTTAGCTGGTGAATAGGACTGACAGTCACAGAGAATGGACTATAATGCTAAAATTAACCATAGCAGTTCCTCTTCTGGCTGCCAGTCAAGCTGTTTGCTCTTACATGGGGAATTTACTGATACTCATAAATTAAATTTCTGGAGATAGTCTATTTTCCTATTCCACATAAGACAAGTTAGATTGTTACTGCCAAGGACTAAAGAGTGGTGTTAGTTGGTCAGTCGTGTCTGACTCTCTGCAACCCCGTGGGCCATAGCTGGCAGGCTCCTCTGTCCATGGAATTCTCCAGGCAAGAATATTGAAGTGAGTAGCCATTTCCTCCTCCAGGGGATCTTCCGGACCCAGGGGTCGAACCCAGGTCACCTGCATTGCAACCAGATTCTTTTCAGTCTGAGCCACCTAGGAAGCCCAAAGACGGGTCTCTTGTTTAAATAAGCTGGGATTTTCCCTGTTTTATGGTCTATATTTTGAAAAATTAATATGTTTTATTTTTTAGAATAGTTTTAGCTCTAGAGCTGTTTTTATGTCTCTGGATCTCTGTTCAAACTGTTAATATGAATCAGCTGAGATGCAGGCTAGGCCAGTTTGGAGAGGTGGAGGGAGCTGGCAAAGCCTGGGATGCTCTGCAGACCTGTGCCATGCTGGATCTGGAGCATTGGGATCTTTGGCCCAGAAGGTTCGGGGGGTTCCCACAGCTGTAGTCTGTTCACAGCACAAAGTCTGGGCTGAAAGGCGAGAGTGGAGAGGAAGGGAAGGGCAAGAGGAGAATTGAAAGCATCTTGTCGAGGGCTGTCAGTGTCCACAGGTTTGAGCAACATGGAGAACCTACACGTGGTAGGTTAGAGGCCAGGGATGGTAGTATGGGTTAAATTTGACAAGAATTCAGTTTTTCCTTCAATGATTTAAAAAGGGGAATCTGTGAACATTAAAAACTCAACGTTTAAAAACTGGGAAATGTCAAGCTAAGATTTGTCTTTGTAGTCTCTCTAGACTGGAGATGGAATGTCTGGCAGAATGTAACCCATATCCCACATGGCAGCAGCTGGTAAGAGCCGCGTGGCCTATGGGCTCTTTGGATCAGGCATGCGCAATTCTTACTTACACGCCCTGACTTCTGTCAACACTGGAATTTACAAACCTCAACGCTCAATGCTCTACCTATATTAATTAAGTTTTTACCCACAACCTAGTTGTGACTGTGTTATCCTTATTTCATACATGAGCAAGCTCTGAGTCAGAGATGTTTAATATCTTGACTAAGGTCACAGAAAAACTAGTAAATAGCAGAATTATAATTTGAATTCAGGAATGTCAAACTCTTAAAATCAATGCCCTTTCCAGTATGAAATGCTGCCTTTAGTATTAATTGCATGATTGTCTGGATAGAAAAAAAATCTTTTTAATTGTGACATTTAAAAGTACAGAGTATTCTGAAGCCATTTATGTCAGTTTTCTATTGCTATAGCAAATGACCACAAATGTAGTGGCTTTAACACAACAGAGATTTTGTAAGTCAGAACTTTTAAGACAGAGTGTGTTCTTTCTGGAGGTTTTAGGAGAGAATCTGCTTCCTCATCTCTCCCAACTTGTAGAGGCTGCCTGTATACCTTGGCTTAGGGCCCCTTTCCCCGAGTTGAGAATACATCAATGCAACCTCTGCTTCCATCGTCCCATCCCCTTCTTCAGCCTTTGGCCCTCTTGCTTTCTAGTTGTAAAGACCCTTTGACTACACTGAGGTCCCCTGGATAACCCAGACTAATACTCCCATTCTCAAGATCCTTAATGTAATCACATCAGCAATTTTTTTTCACGTAAGGTAAGAAATTCATAGGCTTTGGGGGTTGGTGTGTGGACATCTTTGAGGGGGGCATTATTCAACCTACCACATCATACTAGCTATGGGTACCTAACTTTGATACACTTCCAATATACTATATTCCCACCTGGTACCAAAACATTTATTTAAAGAAGCATTTAATGTAATATAAATGAAGCATAATCCTAAGAAAGATGATTGTAATCAAAAGAGGACTTTAGTAAGTTATCTATATTTGAATCCAAAATATATTGCATTCTTCATTTCCATGGCAGATATAAATTAAACCATGCTCGGCAGAAGATAAAAGTTCTATAATCAGAAATCAACATCTGCAGATATTATGACATTGCACCTGCATGTTTTGAAGTGAAGAACACAAAAATACCAACCATGTGTAAGATGCTATCTTTAAGCAGTAATAATTTTGCTTTTACTTTTTCAAAACAAAGTATCTGTTATTCCTATTAAAATTTTTGAAGACATGCTTAGTTTGCAAATTTAAATGATGCTGTTTTTCTCCTTCCTACTCAAATAGCTCCTCTGTTAAATGAAGCTTCCAGAAAGAGTTTTTATTAGCAATCATGAAAATTAAGCTTACAAATACACTTTGAATAAAATATAATAAGAATAAACTTATAATCCTGAAAATGTGATCCTTGGTTTCATGCCATTAAGTTTATATTTTTACATGAGAACTACAGATTTGAGACCATTACTATTATAAAATAACTCATACTATTAAAATCTCATCAAAAAAACAAAGTGCTTAGAAATGAACCTCACCAAGGAGGTGAAAGATTTATATGCTGAAAATTATAAAACATTGATAAAGGAAACAGAGTGATTTAAAGAAATGGAAAGATATCTCATACTGTTTGATTTGAAGAATTAACATTATTAAAATGGCTATGCTACCCAAAGCAATCTATAAATTTAATGTGATTCCTACCAAATTACCCATGAATTTTTCACAGAACTAGAATGAATAATCCTAAAATTTATATGGAATCATATAAATATAAGAGATGCAGAATTACAAAAGCAATCATGAGGAAAAAAACAAAGCAAGAGGCATAACTCTCCCAGATTTTAGACAATATTACAAAACTACAGCAATCAAAATAGCATGGTATTGGCACAAAAACAGTCATGTAGATCAACAGAACAGAAGAGAGCCCAGAAATAAGCCCACATATCTATGGTCAATTAATCCTTCCACAAAGGAGGCAAGAATATATGATGAAAAAAGACAATCTCTTCAGCAGGTGATGCTGGGAAAGTTGGACAGCTGTGTGTAAATCAATGAAGTAAGAATACCTCTTCACATCATACTCAAAACTCAAAGTGGCTTAAAGACTCAAACATACAGCATGACAATATAAAACTCCTAGAAGAGAACCTAGGCAAAACATTCTCTGACATAAATCATGGCAGAGTTTTCTTAGGTCAGATTCCCAAGGAAATAGAAATAAAAGCAGAAAGAAACAAATGAGACCAAATCAAATTTATAAACTTTTCCACTGCAAAGGAAACCATAAAAAATGAAAAGATAACCTATAGACTGGGAGAAAATATTTGCAAATGATGTGACTGACCAGGGCTTAATTTCCAAAATATACAAATAAAAGATAGAACTCAATAAGAAAAGATGAGCAACTCTATCAAAAAAATAGACAGAAGGCCTAAATAAACATATCTTCAAAGAAGACATACAGATAGCCAGTGAAAGTGAAAGTGAAAGTCGCTCAGTCATGTCCGACTCTTTGCGACCCCATGGACTATAGTCCATGCAATTCTCCAGGCCAGAATACTGGAGTGGGTAGCCTTTCCCTTATCTAGGCCTCGCCAATAGGTACACAAAAAAATGCCCAGAGTTGCTAATTATTAGAGAACTGCAAATAAAAATTACAATGAGGTATCACCTCACACTAGTTAGAATGGGAATCCTCCTACACTGCTAGTGGGAACGTAAATTGGTGTAGCCACCTTGGAAAAAATGTATGGCAGTTCTTCAAGAAAGTAAGAATAGGACTGTCACATGATCTGGCAATTTTACTCCTGGATATATATACCCCGAAAAAGCAAAAGCACTAATTCAAAAAGATACATTCACCCTAATATTCATAGCAGCATAATTAACAGTAGGCAAGACATGGAATCAATCTAAATGTCCATTGACAGATGAATGGATAAATAAGATGTGGTCTATATAGAAAACTGAATACTACTTAGCCATAAAAAAGAGTGAAATAATGTCACTCACAGCAACACTGAGGGATCTTAATTTCATATTAAGTGATGAAAGTCAGACAGAGAAAGGCAAATATGATATGGTATCAATTATATGTGGAATCTAAAATACAACGCAGATGAACTTATTTTCAAAACAGAAACAGACTTACAGACATGGAAAACCAACTCAAGTTGAAAGGAGTAAGGGTGTGGAGGAGGGATTAATTAGGAGTTTGGGATTAGTAGACACAAGGCACTATACACAAAATAGGTAACAAACAAGGCCCTACGCTATAGCACAGGGAACTATCTTTAATATCCTGTGATAAGCCATAATGGACAAGAATATGAAAAATATCTATGTACAACTGAATCACTTTTCCGCAAACCAGAAATGAACACAACATTGTAAACCAAGTCTACTTCAATAAAAAACTAAAAAGGTGATAAGAAAACAGAATTATAGTTGAATCATCTTGAATCAGTTGAATCATGTTGACAATTTTGCAGGTTTTTTCTTCCTTTGGCTTATGCAGATTTGATTTCTACTGTAGGGTGTCTCTCTCTTCCTCAATACCTCGCTTTGTTAACCACTGTTCATTGTATGCAGTGAAAATTCTTATACGATCTACAGAAAAACCTTCTATTCCTTTTGGAAAAAAATTGAAGATTAAATAATGTTCTTAAATGGTTGCTAAGAAGATGTCAAGAGCTGGAGTGGGTGTGGCAAAAGGGGAACCCTCCTTCATTGCTGGTGGGGATGTAAGTTGATGTAGTCACTGTGGAAAACAATGGAGGTGACTCAGAAAGCTAAAACCAGAATTAACATATGATTCACCAATCCCTCTCCTGGGCCTATATCCAAACATTACTAAATTCGAAAAGATACAGGCACCTCCATGTTCATAGCAGCATTATTCACAATAGCCAAGACATGGAAAAATCCTAAATGTCTACTGAGAGATGAACGCATAAAGAAGATGGGATACATATATACAATGAAATACTACGCAGCCATAGAGATGAAAGACGCCACTTGAAGTGACGTGGATGCAACTCCGGGAGTCGGTGATGGACAGGGAGGCCTGGCGTGCTGCAGTCCACGGGGTCGGAAAGAGTCGGACACGACTGAGCGACTGAACTGAACCGACCTGGATGCAACTATAGATTATCATATCAAGTGAGGTAAGTGAGAAAGGCAAAGCCCGTATGGTGTCACTTATATGTGGAATCTAAACTACGGCACAAATAAATTTATCTATGAGACAGAAACCGAGTCAGGCACACAGAGGATAGACGGGTGGTTGCCAAGATAGGGGGAGAGAGAGTCTGGGGTCGGCAGATGCAAACTAGCGTGTGTGGAAGGCCAAGAAGTAAGGTCCAGCTGCATAGCACAGGGAACGAGGCTCAATATCCTGTAACACACCAGAGTGGAAAGTAATATGAAAAAGAATGTATGTGCGTGTGTGACTGAGTCACCAATGACAGCAGTAGTTAATAGAACATGAAAGCAATCATATTTCAATAAAAAAGAAAGGGACAACAGGAATCAGAGACTGCAAGTATAGCTAGCTATTTCAAGCAGTCTTACTCTAACGGAGGACGTGGGAACCAGGCAACAGTCGAAGAGGAATTAGGATCGAGAGGGGTGACTTTTGGTTGAAGTTTTGTTTTCATTAAAGTGTTAGGGAAATTAAATAAATAGTCTTGTTTAGGCTTCAAAGACAAAGCAGAGCGGGCCTCTGACCTTGCTTCTCACCTGCCTGGACGCTGCCCAGATGGAGTGACCGTGAGTGACTGCCTGCTGGGACTGCAAGACGTGGAGCACCTTAGAGAAGATGCGGGAGGAGTCTTGAGATTGTTGAGCCCCGGGAGGGGGCCAGGGCAACCAGGCCCCAGGCTCAGCAACAGTCCAAGTTTTACATGCCAAAACCAGCGTGAAACCAGAGCGGCAAACTGGTCACAGACCGATGCTGAAATCAGTGCGCGTCCTGAGATTATACGCGGAACCCCGAACTGGTCTTTGAAGTCTCACCCGGGCGCGGACTCGCTGCCTGGGACCCTTTCCCCAGCTGGGACTGCAGATGCGCTGGATGCCAGCGCTGATTGAGTCTGGATGTTGGTCAAAACCCAGTTTG